AAAAAAAAAGTCAGGCTTAACTCAAATATAAATGTAAAAAAAAAAAATTAGAAAGAGCTTGACAGGGTCCTTCAGTGAATTATAATTATAAAATTCTTCCTAATATCCAAAGGGAGTACCTAGGTACCTATTCTTTCCTTGCTGGCGTCCTATAACTGCTTAGGTAGCCAGTTATATTAGAAATCAACGGACATTTCTTAGAGACAAACCCCAGAAGATGGTAATATGTGAAGCCTCAAGAACAGGTTTTATCAAAATGAGCGTGAAAGGGAGTCAGGTGGGTGACCCACATAGCATCAATCTGTCTATATGAACCAAGGATAAAATTCCTAACAACCTAATTTCAAGTACCTTCCTGCCTATCCAAGAGGCATAACACGAGGAGATTAACATTTACAAAGTTATTTTGAGTGCTTTAAAGAAAATGGTTCTATTACTATATTACCATTATATAATATCCATTGTAACTTAAAATTAAATTGTACACCCCAATGACACCATGCTTCTCAAAATAAAGAAGTCTGTTTTAGCCACATTATTCATAAAATAATTCCTTTCATAATAGTTTCTCTTTCAGTTGTGCATAATTTTGCTTTACCTTTCCATCAGGTGCATGTTACTTATTCATGACCATCCTCTGTCTTTTAATGGTTCTCCTTTCTTTTTTAATCATGCACAGCTACACATTCATTCTCTGTGCTCTAATCTTATTGAAAAACACATTATTTGGGCTTCCCTGGTGGCACAGTGGTTAGGAATCTGCCTGCCAATGCAGTGGACATGGGCTCGAGCCCTGGTCCGGGAAGATCCCACGTGCTGTGGGGCAACTAAGCCCGTGAGCCACAACTACTGAGCCTGCGCTCTACAGCCCGCGAGCCACAACTACCGAAGCCCGCGTGCCTAGAGCCCGTGCTCCGCAACAAGAAAAGCCACCACAGTGAGAAGCCCACGCACCACAAAGAAGAGTAGCTCCCGCTCGCCGCAACTAGAGAAAGCCCGCACGCAGCAACGAAGACCCAATGCAGCCAAAAATAAATAAATAAAACAAATTTATTTTTTAAAAAAACCACATTACTTGATCCTTAAGTGTCAAGAATGACTCCCAATTCAGGGACAACCATGATAGGAGAGGGCAGAAGAGTGGACGACCCTTTCCATCAGGGCAGTTTTAAACCTTTTTCATGATAACATACACCGAGAGGTATATGTATTTGTTGGCACATAACTTACACAACTGTTGTAAGTTGAATTGTGTCCTCCGCAAAAGATATGTTGAGGTCTTAAGCCCCAGTACCTGTGAATATGACCCTATTTGGAAATCAAGTCTTTGCAGATATAATCCTGTTAAGATACAGTCACACTGGAGTGGAGCAGGCCCGTAATCCAGTATGACTGGTGTCCTTATAAGAAGAGACACACACACACAGGGAGGAGTATGCCACGAAGACACAACAGAGGGGAGAATGTCATGTGACACCAGAGATAGAAATTAAAGTGCTGCAAGCCAAGGGTCAGCAGCAAACCACCAGAAGCTAAGAAGCAAGTAAGGATCTTCCCCTGAAGACTTCAGAGGGAGCACAGGCCTGCTGGCACCTTGATTTCTGACTTCAAGCCTCCAGAACTGTGAAACAATAGATTTCTGTTGTTTTAAGCCGCCCACTTGTGGCTGTACTTTGTTACAGAAGCCCTAGGAAACTAGTAAAACAATGAAGCATAGCCAGTGAGATGCCTTTAGAGAGATCATCTTAAAACCATTCTAATTTATAAAAACAAGTGAAACCATGTGTTATTTTTATAGTAATCAATTATTTGCAATACATGTTACAGCCAATTGGAATGCATCAATAAATATTAATATCTTCATTGAGAACCACAGCAGTAGGTATAACAAAGGATGATGGGAATACTTTAATATTTTTGCTTTAGAAATCTAGAATTTAAAGGTATGCCACTGGCTTGAATTTCTAAATCTGACTTTCCTCTTAGTTTTTGTTTGGATTAATATACTTCGATTGTCAACTTCCTAAATCCAGCTCAAGAGTCACGCATACAGAGGAACATCTAAATACTCTTAAAGGTCTATAGTGGCTTTGTGGTTTATGTTATACATTGAGCTGACCCGGAGTTGTTCAATGGGCGTAATTCTCAGTGAATTCGAAAGACATGAGCTGAGCAGCCTAAGAGCATTACTGATAGGCTACATGTTATTAGGTTGACATACTTAGTCCTGTCAATTTCTTAATTCAGGGAAAAGGGGAAGTTGAGAGAACACAGGGAATGGATTAACTCATGCATTTATTAATTCATTCCATAAATAGTTCTTGTGCCATGAGCAAGGCATTAGGGACACCATAGTGAACGAGATGCTCACGGAGCTCTTGGGTGTCACGGTAGGGGTGGGGGGGACACACAACTAATAGTACAGTTAACAATTTAAGTGCAATTGTGCCAAGTGCTACAAAGGTAGAGAACGTTACAAGAACAGAAACTGAGTACCTTCCTTGAGGAAGTGAAAGGAGAGTGAGCTCTAAAGCTCAAAAGACTGCAGTCATGTGTTCCAATGGGTGCAGCAAGAGCCTGTGGCAGAAGAAGCCTAACTTACTCAGGAAACAGTGAGAAGGTCCGTGTGTCTGGAGAGCGGTGATGGGGGATGGGAATGGCGTGAAAGGCAGGATGGCAAGGTAGGTGGGGCCAGACCACCCAGGACCTCTAGGTCTGTCCTGCACATCCCTCCCACGCCCGCCAGGCTGCCAACCTGTTTCCGACCCCTCCATAGTGTGTAAATAGAGATGGTCTTACTTGATGTGGTGGACTCCAAAGTGACCCCCATGCTCCCCACTTCCTGCTGTTCATGCCTTAGTGTCATAATCTGTGCTGTGTAGTGAATTGTGTCTCCCTAAAAAAATATACTGAAGCCCTAAACCCCAATACCCATTAATGTAATCTTATTTGAAATTAGGGTCTTTGCAGACATAATCAAGTCAAGATGATGTTATACTGAATTAGGGTAGACCCTAACCCAGTATGACTGGTGTCCCTACAGGAAGAGGGAAATGGGACACAGACCTAAACACACAAAGGAAGAAGACCATGTGACAATGGAAGCAGAGATTGCAGTGCTGCCGGTGCAAGCTAAGGAACACCAAGGACTGCTGGCAAAATATCAGAATCTAGGAAGAAGCATTCTCCTATGGGTTTCAGAGTGAACTTGGCTCTGCTGACAACTTGACATTGAACTTCTACCCCCAAACTGTGAGATAAGTTTCTATTGTTTTAAGTCATCTAGTTTGTATTATTTTGTTACAACAGCCTTAGGAAACTGATACAGATTGTGCTTGTGTGTAGGTGGGACCAATGATTTGCTTCTGAGCAACGAGATATGGCAAAGTGATGGCATGTCACCTCAATGTTTACATTATGTTATATAAGACTCTGTCTTGCTAGCAGACTCATTCTAGAGACCGTCTTCCACATGCCAGCTATGAAGATGCAAGTCGCTATGAGTCCTACAAGGAACAAGTCCACGCGGAACTGCAAGGAGTTGAATTCCACCAACAAACACATGAGCAGGGAAGTGGAGGCCTGAATCAGGCCTCCAGATGAGACCACAGCCTGACTGACATCTTGATTATAGCTTTGTGAGACCCTGTGCAGAGAACCCAGCTAAACTGTGCTTGGAATTCTGACCCACAGAAATCATGAGATAATGAATACATGTTGTTTTAAGCTGCTAACTTTTTAGTAATTTGTTAGATAGCATAGAAAACTAACATGCTTGAACAGTAGTATACCAAACTGTTAGTAGCAGTTTAGCCTTTGCATTCTCTCTGGGCATAGGAAATGTTGAAAGCTGACTCTTTTATGGATATTTTCAGGCACTCTTCTGAGGTTCCCAACACTGGGGACTCTCCTGCAGTTCCCCTGGTGTGAGCACATGTATCTTCTCACATCAGGCATTTTCTTGCTACTCCTTCCTGGGGAATCCAGTGATAACTTCCTGGTTCCTGCTGCTACGGTCCCTCTGGCCAGGACCTACGCCAACGCCATGCCAGCACTCTCCCCCGTGAGGCCTACCTCTGGGCACCTATAAACACTCAAGGATCCTTTGGCCTAACCAACTCTGGGAGGGTTGGCCATTCCCAACATGGCAGCCCTCTCCTCAGCCCGTCCCTCTGCTTCAGCTTTGCTACACAGCAGTCCAAAGCCAACAGCTCCATGGGGTCCCTCCAACAACAGAGCACTACATTAAGCTTGTCCAGAGTCCTAGTTCTCTCTAGGCTGGAGGTGAAGGAGTAGGGGTGGGTGACAGTCACTGCACGGCAACAGTGCACTCCGAAGACTCTCTTTACCAATCTCTTCTCTACATTCTGTAAACGTTTTTATCTTCGATCTGGTTCAAGAGTCCAAGACTCACGGAATCAGCCTGAGCACTTCCTTTATAAATTCTGTGCGTGGGGTCTGTCTCACAATCACTTTCCTATCTATTGTTTTGGAAATCCCATCAGAATGGAGGCAGGAAAAGTGCCACTTTAACCACCTGTTTCTTTTAGTATTCCCAAGTCATAAAATAAGAGTAAAATTTAGTGTTAATGTTACAACTCATTTCTAGCTGACATTTAAAAGAATCAGTGATATTTACATTCTTAGACAATTGTTAAAATGATGAACTCTATTTAAAATAATTACTCAACACTCTTGAACAAATTTATCTATGTTTTGCAAGCAGAAATTCAGAACAAGGCAGAAGCCAAGGAATCAAATATTCTCAAGTACGTAAAAGCTCTAATTATGGGTGGCCAAAGTGCCCTATTTAAAATACAAAGTTTATTCATTCATTTACTGAGCAAATATTTACTGAGTACCTCTTAAGTGACAGACTGTTTTATTTAAACTTTTAAAATATTTAATTTTGACTTTATCCAGTTAGCTTAAAAAAAAAAGTATAAGAGAAAAATGCACATCAGGATAAGTCTTAGAAATGCATATAACTCCAGAATTACCTGAAAAGGCATTGCTGTAATATCTAGACAGGGTCTGCATGATGTCTTTTGAGTGCTGGGTCCACGGCGCTATCTTTCTGTAGGTTTTTACACGATGAACAAGTTGGGAACCACCATACTGAAGGGACAGGGTATCCCCATGATCTTCATAGAGTTCCTCAAATAACCTAAGCAAAACATACAAACACTAAAGAATTTCACCCAAAGTATTACACACGTATTCACTTAGCTGTGGACTCAAAACAAGTATTTTACTTTATGAATTCCTCTAAGCCTTTCTTTTCAAGTAGACTCTTCAACATCTCGAAGATATATGCACATACAAAATATATTATATTTTATAGTAATGGTCTAATAAGCAACAAAGTCAAAGAAAATGCTATATATATATATAAAAAAAAGCAGGGGCACCAAAAGCATAACCCATCAAAGCCAGACCAAGGTGGTTTTAACTCTATTAAAAGAATCCTAACTTTCTGCAGCCTGCCAAATCAATTTACCTCCCACGACAGAATTTTCTGTTCTCTCTGAATTGCCTTTGGGAAAAAGGACATGCTCTTGTCACAAACAAACCATATTCTTTCCTAGAAATACACGTTTGAAACTTATGTTTCTTCAAGTGCCTGTCAAAGACTTTTTAGTGCAGTGGTATCTGAGGACCTGGCCATTTGTAAGCTCATCGCTTTTTTTTTGACAGAGCCTTTATGACTATCTCAGAGGACCTATAACAGCGATCACTGCATTTTCAAGAAATGGTACTTCACACAATGTCATGGACCCAACGGCCAGTGAATAAACAGTATTCCTTACTGAAGAATCAATGTTTTATCTGTCTTATATGTTTAATTCAAAATATATGAAGGCTTATTACTTTTTTCCCCTAATGCAGTCTGGATTTATTTCTTAAAAAACCCACTAGTTTGGATTTATCTAAAGTACATAATGTTTATTGATAATTAACACAAATAGGAAAATAAAAACCATGGTAACAATACACAAGGCTTTAACAGAAATATATATTACCAAATTAATTTGAATAATGTCTTTTAACAACATGGTTTTTGAGAAGCTGAAAGGAGAAACAAGTTCATAAAAGTCCTTATTAATCAGGTTTGCTTTCTGTCATTACCAGCATTCGAAAGGCAGAAAATAAGGCTTACCTAACTGCATCTGTATCAAACTGTAGATTCGGTTTGTCAATTAAGCCCAAGGAATACAGCTGATAAGCCAGAGCACATTTCCCCACCATAAACTGTGCTGTGTTGGTGCGATCCAAACAGTCCACACAGTTGGTTCGAAGAACACCAGTCTAAAGAGAAACACCTTGAACTGTCATTCATTATTCAGTCACCAAAACTACCTCCATCCTACTTTAGATTTCTTTAAGCAATAGAAGATAGCTGCAGGCAGGGTATTATTCCTGAACAAATAATGAACATTTTTTTCATTATAAAAGGTTATATTTGCTGTTCATTTAATACTGCTGCAACAGCATCATTGCACCCTCTAGTCTATATTTGAATTATTTTCTTTAGTTTAACAAGATAAAAATAGCTAACATTTTCCACATGTATCAATTAGTAAAATATGTGCTTTTTTCCCTGATCTATCTCCTTTACTGTACAAACTAAAATATTCAGTGGGTGAGGCCATTTCATTCTTAAAGCATAATTAATATATATACTGTTGTATTTGGTTCATTTTCCAAAGTCTTTCTAATTTATTCTTTTCACATTTCTGTTTATGGTTCTATTTCCAATAACAAAATTTATACTATATAGAAAAAATCTGTGGGCGATTATTATTTCAGCTACACATCCTTCGCAAGAGTTAAACACTAGCAGTAAGGCTTTTAAAACTCATTCTCAGGACTTCCCTGGTGGTGCAGTGGTTAAGAATCTGCCTGCCAGTGCAGGGGACATGGCTTCCAGCCCTGGTCCGGGAAGATCCCACATGCCGCGGAGCAACTAAGCCCGTGCGCCACAATTACTGAGCCTGCGCTCTTAGAGCCTGCAAGCCACAACTACTGAAGCCCACATGCCACAACTACTGAAGCCCATACGCCTAGAGCCCGTGCTCCACAACAAGGGAAGCCACCGCAATGAGAAGCCCGTGCACCACAATGAAGCATAGCCCCTGCTCACCGCCACTAGAAAGCAGCAACGAAGACCCAACGCAGCCAAAAATAAATAAATAAACATATTTTTAAAAAAACCTCATTCTCAAATGATTAATAATTTTGCATTCAATAAGCAGTATCTCTCTCCATGGTTGCTTTCAGAAAACATCATACACTGGATACAGATTCTATTCATTATTAATACAATGTCATCTATACCTGCAGGCGACCGGTGGAAATCACACATCCTCCTAGTTCATTCCACCTGTGTTTAAAAATACATGCTTTAATTAAAAATTTTTAATAACATAATCTATATTCATATTTGGTACTAGCTCTTTATTAAGAATCAAAGTAATAGGGCTGAATGCCCCTGAATAATCAGCTGATTCAGTTTACTTTCATTCTCTCAGGAAAGTGAATATGCAAGTCACAGAGACGGAATGCTATCCATGCGCTAAAGGGAGACCAGGAAAGGAGCATCTTAACCTGCTCCAGCCCTACACTCTTAGCATTTTGTCACCCATGTTCAACCAAAATCTCTCGTGCTTTAATTTAAGCGCATTTCCTGTTTGGTCTCTACAGACATGACTAATAATTGCAGGGCAACTTTATAATAAAATCTTCCAAGCCTGATCCTTCTCGCCTCAACATCAGGAGGCCCCACCTCCTCCAGCTTTTCTTCATGGAGCTTTTGTTTTTACAGTCTTCCTTATTATTTTCTTTCCTACATACTTTCTCCACGTACTAATGAATGCCTGGGGAAATGTTCTTATTACATAAGTACTATATCATGATATTACTATTTTAATTATTTAAAATATTTTAATTATTTAAAACAAGGTGCAGTGAAGAAAATAACACAGCAGGCCTGACTGCCATCCTCAGAAAGGCCTGCTTACAAGGCTGGCCCGTGGCTGGAGTCCGGAACTTCAGTTCCCACCATTCCCAGAACAGACAAGAGTGGCTCAATGTGCCTAAGCCGTCTGTAGAAACAACATGGTTTGCTGAACATCCTTTCCTTCTGCGAGTCTGAAATTTTGGAAGCTGCCAGGCAGAGGCTGCCTATAGGACCATCTCCAATAAAAACCCTGGCACCAAGTCTTTCATCATCTCCCCTGGGTGGCGACATTTCACACACACATCACAAGTCGCTGGGAGAATTAGCGCTCTCTGTGTGCCTCTACCAGGAGAGGACTCTGGAAGCATGCCCCTGATTTCCTCTGGACTTCATCCCATGTGCCTTTCCCCTTGGCTAATTTTGCTTTGTTTTGTTTGGTAGTAATAAATCACAGCCAAGAGAACAACAATATGCTGGGTCCTTTGAGTTCTCCTAGTGAATCACTGAGCCTGGGAGTGGTCTTGGGGACCCTGGTCACAGGTGCCCCGAAATTCAAACTATAACAGAAGGATTACTTGCAAAGATGTACACATTAGTAGTTGGTTGTTTTTTGTTTTTGCTTTGTGTGTGTGTGTGTGTGTGTGTGTGTGTACCATTATAGTTAACTTTACTAACTGAAAATAAAATACTGGAAATATATAATATTGGTCCCTTAAAAGATAAATAAAGCACATTTGCTTGATCTGAAGGTGCTCACAAAGTAGTAATGAGGAAAGACTTGTGAGCAACTAACTATAATACAATGATACATTTTCATTAAAATGTTAGGTTAAATACTAACGTATACACTGGTTTATTAGAAAATTTTTCCTGCTCCTATTTAATACTGAAGAATAGAATTCATTACAGAAAATTTTACTTTACAGAAATATTTTATGTAATGTTTATTCTAAGAAGCAAGAGATTCCATGGCTTCCATCTCAGGGTATATACCCGCAGAGGAAACTGCATGCCATCGTGAACATTCATTCCACAGTCACATGGGCTGCGTGTCTTGTCTCCCCAAAGGAATAAAGTCATCCATCTTCCAAGGAGTCAAACTGCTCATATTTAGAATATTTTTTATCTGTAAGAGCAAAATTCTTGATTTCTTTTAGGTTTTAAAACACCATACATACTTTTCATCTGGCCGCAAAATGCTACAGTATGCATCAGGGCGGTTTACAAAGAAGCCTGTTTTCTTCACCACACTTTCTGCAATCACGTTCAGGCGATCCAGAACATTACACAGCTTGCTGAGGGCAAGGAGGAAGAATGAGAGAAGTGAGAACAGCCCACGTCTTAATACATATTTATTCTCACATCTAAAGCAAAGTCTGCAGTAATGATACTCAGGGATTTAATTTTTAAAATCTCTGGTTTGTACTCAACAGGAACAGTGTAAGAATTAATTTCTAGAATGCAATGTGTACTCAATAACTAGCAAGATTTGGCACAAGGAGACATGAAGGGCCTGTAACTCGATAGCAACTATTGGCAAGCCTTAAACTCGGCACATGACATCCCCCTGCAAGAGCTCTTCCCAAAGCCTTTCGCTCCCCAAGGGTGCAGTCAGTTAAATATGGATTCATGAAATGTGAAGAGCACAATGCACAGTGCAGTGGAAGGAGAAGAAAACACTGGAAGATAAATCACTACTAATGGCACCAACCTGCAACCAGGCTTGTACTATGGGAAAGTGTGTGTGTGTGTGTGTGTGTGTGTGTGTGTGTGTGCGCACATGTACATGTATCTAACTACATAAAATGATTCAGAAAAAAGTACAATGAGTCAAGTGCAAAACAATACAGTGACATTTAAAAATAACGGAGACCTCAATATGAACCTAATGTTTGTATGACCCCTAGTAAATGAATGCAAGTTCCTTGGATGAGATGAGTTTTGAATCAGATCTTGACAGAGAGGTGGGAAAGCAGCCAGTGGAGGGCAGGGGGAAACAACAGGAACAAAGGTTCCAGAATTGGACCTTGGCTGCTGCACTGGGGACAGAACAGGAAGGTTAGCTTTTCAGGAACAGAACAGCCCCGGGAATAAAGAAGAAGTTATGCATTCTGGAACCAACCAGGTGATGGGGCTTTAACATTACACTAAGGGGTTTGGATTTACTATAAACAGTCAAGAGTTAGTACTGGTTCATCCATGCGTGAGATAATCTGAAAGTGGTGTCTGAGAAAGTGATTAAACAGGGAGAAAGAATGAAATAGAAAAAAGTGAAGCTAATGCCTTTAAGGAAAAGCAGCAGGGTAAAGATGTTCTGAGGTTACTAGATACTTCAAAGAGAATTTCTAAATGGTAAAAATGGTGGGCAAAAAGAATTTGGTCAACTAATTTAAGCCCTCAAATTATACACCAGCAGTTAAACAGCCCCTCAAGCCGGTTCACAAAGGAAATGAAAAAAGTAACATTCACTTTACCAGAGAGATCAGCTTCCTGCTACTTTACATCACAAGAAGAGGAAAATATAACCAGACGTATGAGCATCTGCTCACCTTTTGGTGTACTTGGCCATATCCCAAGGAATATAAATAATCGTGTGCTCGGGAGGCAAAAACTGGTTGAGGTAGGTCACAGCAGCTACGAGTTCTTCACTCAAAATTCTCTCATGCTTTCTTTTCTCTCGTTCCTTTACCAAAAATTAAACATTTTCAGTGTTCTAACTACCTTAAATCAGAGGAACAGACTTTTAACATAACTTTGCCACTAAGACAAAAAGCTGCAGTGCTAAATACACAAAAACGAAACCTACCTACGCAAATTAAGATAATGCAAAGAAATAAATGCACCACTGAACTACAGTCAACAGACGATGAGCATTAAAGACTCAGGGAGATCCGATTTCTTCCTCATAACCTCCTACAGTCCCAAGAAGCCCAGCTCACCCTGCACAGGCCTGTCCTACACACTCCACACTCCACTTTGGCAAAGGAGAACTTCCTAAGGACCAGAAGAAAGGAACCTCCAACCCCAGCCAGCTAAGGACCAGAGAGAAATCAACTGGGCCTAGATGGCTAATCCCCAAACTGGCAGAGCGGAGAATGCTTTCGCAGGCTTCATAGGCTTTTTTTTTTTTTTTTTTTTTTGGCTGTGTTGGGTCTTCGTGGCTGTGCGCGGGCGTTCTCTAGTTGCGGCGAGCGGGGGCTACTCTTCACTGTGGTGCGTGGGCTTCCCATTGCGGTGGCTTCTCTTGTTGCGGAGCACGGGCTCTAGGCACGTGGGCTTCAGCAGTTGCAGCACATGGGCTCAGTAGTTGTGGCTCACGGGTTCTAGAGCACAGGCTCAGTAATTGTGACGCGGGCTTAGTTGCTCCACGGCATGTGGGATCTTCCCGGACCAGGGCTTGAACCTGTGTCTCCTGCACTGGCAAGCGGATTCTTAACCACTGGGCCACCAGGGAAATCCCGTTCATAGGCTTTTAAACTTGACTCTCATAAAATCCCCGTGAGGTAGCCAAGGCAGCCATGTCTTCCCCTTTTACACTGTGGCTGGATGAACTGACGCTGAGAGGCGTTCATGGGACTAAACCTGACTGTCCACCTCCTTGCCTGCTGTAGCTCCTTAGATATCATACTGCCTCCCATTCAAGAGGAGCTGGTGCATAGTGTCCAGCTTTGTGGTTGGAGTGCTGGCTCTGCCTCTTACCAGCCACATGGCCTTGAGCAAGGTTCTCAACTTTCCTTGGCCTCCATTTCTTCGTCTGTAAAATGGGTAACAGAAGTATCTCACTTAAAGGATTAATGTGAGGTTTAAGTGAGACGAAACATGATAGTTTCTTATCAGAGCATATGACACATGGTAAGGATTAATAAAAATTAACTTTATTGTTATCCTGATCAGGACTTCACATAGAAACAAACAAAAAACAATTCAGCAATATGGATACAGCACTGAGGTACTATTGCTGGCATCAAAATAGGTCTACACTGTTTTCAACCATGGTGATTACTTTTCAACTGTCATGAATTTAATTAGATAATCACTGAGGAAACAGTGATTTTGCACAGCTGTATGTATGGAGGAATTAGTTAAGAATTGATTAAGAACAGCATTAAATCAGTTTGGGATGAACAAATATTTAGCTTATTTTTACATCTGAGAAAATTAAATTGTATACCTGTAATTTTCTCAAAAGCACTTTAAGCCAGTTAGAGAAACAAAAAGTTTTTGAATTTCTTATATCAAATCTGACATTTAATGAGACAGAGAGATAAGGTTATTTCATCAACTTTCAATCATGTCTATGTAAAGAATCTGCTTTATGCATAGTCTGCCCACAGTGGATTAGCTAGTGGATTGTTTCATCGACCTTCTTTGGTCACAGACCCCTTTAACAACCAGATGAAAACTTCACATATGCAAGTGATTGTTTCAAAGGGTTCAGAGACACCCCCCCACAATGGCCGTCCATGGACCCCGGATTAAAGTCCTCTGATGTACAATGACATCAGATCCCTGGTTGGCTTCCTACTGATCCCCAGTAGAAGCAATGACAGTATAAGGATTGCTCCAAAATGTCTGACAAGCAGTGTCTCAAACCTCCACATGGTGGAGTGGAGGGAGGGCAGGAGATAGTGCACAACACAGGGCAAAAGAGAAATCAAGAAATGTATTCCACTTTAGACACTTCATACGGAGGCAGAATAAAGAGTGAATATCCGTTGATATCATGCTACACACACACGCACACATACACACATTCTTTGACAAGTTAATGAGGAGTTCTAAGTGAACTGAATAAACATCTTCTTTTATCCTATGAATAAGATAACTAATGACAAAAACATTTTTTTCTATTCTACAAAACAGCAACTTAATCTCCAAACAATTTTCTAGTTATTGCCAGGATTTTTATGGCAATGAAACAATAAACAAGGACAATTTTAAAATCCACTGACTGCCCTTTAAATATTAAGAAATAAATGTTCATTTGAGAAAGCTGGGCAGGAACACTTTACAACCACACGTATCTGATATTATATTTTGAACCTGCATATTTAATAGAGAAATACATTATTTCAAACATCATAAACTGAATTTCCACTTAACCATAGCTTTTAACCACACTATAAGGACTCTAAAATATGAAGAAAATGCACTAATTAAGGTCGATGTTTATGTTCTAGCGATAACCTTGTAATTTAGTGCTTCAGCAATAATTTATTTCTATACTAACAATCTCTTATGGCTTATAGCTTACTAGAAAAGTGTTCATGAGGGTTCTTATTACTAGAGTTTTCCTTTTTGAATTTTTTGATTATATCTCTTATAGCTGCTGTTCAATATCAGGCTGAGGCTGTGGACCATCCACCTATTGCCGTATGTTATTCTGAGTTGATGGGGGAGAGATGTGAAAATGAAACTTCTGAACTGATGTGAACCAAAGTCTAAAAAATGATGTATTTAATACCTGAATGATTTATTTTACAAAGTCAATCCCTCATAGGATGCAATAATTTCATAAAGCAAAGAGCAACAAAGGAAGAAATAAAGCTTCCTGCCTCACTGTCCCCAGCCCCTCCTCCCCACTCCCCTCCTCCGGAGCCACACGCTCACAGGCACACACACACGCCCTGCTCCTCTGAACCCTCGCACTTGGTTCTACGGTCTTTTCCCCGCAACTGGATCTCGGTCTGTGCCCCCCTCCTGGGCGGCTCCCAGTACCTGTTCCTCCTCCACTCTAGCTAAGCCATCCTTCCCACCCTCACATCTCAGATCAAGTCATCACCACAGGTAACTCCTCTGCCTTCAACATTTCTTATCCAGAACCTCTTTTATTTTCAGATGGCTTGTTTTAAACACCCCACCTCACCAGGACCCCAGTCCACCGACAGCACTGCTTTCTTCATCACCCTCTCCAACACTCACCCTCCTCCAGCTCAGGTTTCATGGTCTGCTTCAATTAGACTTCCGCCAACATCCAAAACTCCTATTATCTGTCTTTCTACATCACGCCTGCCTGGCAGAACTGAACGAACCCAATTATCTACTTCCTCTGTGCTCACAGCCATACACAAGCCCTGCCAGGAAAAGTCAGGCAATAGCAGAATTTAAGAAATCTTGGGGGACTTCCCTCGTGGCGCAGTGGTTAAGAATCTGCCTGCCAATGCAGAGGACACGGGTTCGATCCCTGGTCCTGGAAGATCCCACATGCCGCGGAGCAATTAAGCCCATGCACCACAACTGCTGAGCCTGCGCTCTAGAGCCCGCGAGCCGCAACTACTGAGCCCGTGTGCTGCAACTACTGAAGCCCACGCACCTGGAGCCCATGCTCCGCAACAAGAGAAGCCACTGCAATGAGAAGCCCTCGCACCACAATGAAGAGTAGCCCCTACTCACTGCAATTAGAGAAAGCCCACGTGCAGCAACAAAGACCCAACGCAGCCAAAAATAAATTAATTAAAAAAAAAGAGAAAGAAATCCTGATCACCAACCTGAAATTAGCCCTTAGCATTTCCTGGAGGTCTCTGGTCAATCCACCCTCGCACATACATGAAGGCTGTGAAACTTCCACCACCCTCAAACCTCTGCTCTGAGCAGGTGACCGTCCCTCTTACCTTAAGGAGAAGTTAAAGATATCAGGAAGGAGCATGTACACGTACACAACACACACACACACACACACACACACACACACACACACACGTACCCTTACTATTCTGTCCTCCCATTAAAATAATTCCTCCCTCCATGTTTCAGATTTCCTCCTTTCTGAAGCACATGATGCCCCTGATCGTCCTTTCTCTCTCCTGTGTTTTATACGTCTCAAGGATCCCAAATGGATCCTTCCCACAGGCTTTTAAACACAGCATTATGCTCTCTTAAAAAAAAACAAAACAAAAAAACAACATACTGATGAAAACACCAACTCTTCTTCATTTCTCATTAGGTACTTCATTTCCCCAGGACGAGGGAAGTCCTCCTACAGCTCAGTCCACTTCAGTCAGTGCTCTCCGTGTTGGTAACACAAGGAGCATATTTCCTGTTTTCATCTTACTTGACCTGTCAGCAGCCTTTGCCACTGTTGACTGCTTCCTTCCTTCCTCATGAAACACGCTTTCTCTTAGCTGTCATAACATGGCACTCACCTGGTTTTCCTCCTACTTTTCTGTCTGTTCTCTCCCAGGCTCCTTTACAGACTCTGCCTGCTCTAACTGGACATTAAGAGCTGGGGGGTCCTCAAGACAAGACTGGAGGCTCTTCCCTCTTCCCACTCTGAACTCTCTAAATGGGCATCACCTCCATGCCCATGTCTTCAAATATCGCTGGGGCACACATGAGCCACAAAATCACACCTCAGCCCAGACCTCTCTCCTGAGCTTCTATCTCACACACTGGCCACTCACTTGCCAGCTCCTCTGACAGGACTCAATCCATCTCAAACCTCAGCACATCCAAACCGTACTCACCATCTTCCCTCACAGACTGAGTCCACGGTCCCTGGCTCAGTGAATGGCATCACCATCCATCCACCTGATACTCGCCAGAAACCTAGGAATCAAGCCTGACATCTCCCTCTCCCTCATATCAGACCCAGCTCATCACTGAGCCTACTGCCTGTGTCCACTTCTCTCCACCTCTACCACACCACCCGAGTTTAGGCCAGTTACCCTTTTCTGGATAATTCTAACAGCCACCTATGTTGTCTTCCAACATAGACTTTAGCCTTGTACCAATCCATTCATTCTCTAGATTGAGGTCAGGACAATCTTTTCAAAACAGAAATCTGATCACCATCCTCTCAGCCATACAAAACCTTCCATGGTTTTGGAAAGTCAGGATAAAGACCAGACTCATTAACACACCTTACAAGGCTCTGCATGTCTGGCATAACTCCCTCATCCTCTGGGACCCAGCAAGACAAGCCTTTTCTTCCTTAAATCCACCAAATCCCCTCCTGTCTCAGGGCCTTTGTACCTGCTGTTTTCTTTCTTCTTGGCCTTGTTAATGCCTCTTCGTTCAGGCTGAGCTGACTCATCGCTTCCTCAGGGAAGACTTCCTTCCCCTTATAAGCTCTCATAGCATCGTAACCCAGTGTCGGTACCTCTGCATCACTTCACCATCTCCTCTGTTAGACTGGTAGCCCTGGGAAGGCAGCCACTGCTTCTATGATTGCCCTGGCACAAAGGAAACCTTCAGAACTGCTTGTCAAATGGTGGACTAAATGGACATAGGATTACTTGGTTTTTAATTAAATTGAATTATACTTACTAACCAACTTCTCAGAATAATCTCAGATACTACTAGTTTGTCGGCCAACTGCCACAAACATAATATAACAAAACCCTTGCTTTTCATACACTCAGAGTTTTCCTGGCCACAGAATGAGATTCTTCCATTTCACTTCATTGCAACAGAAACAGCTATGATTTGTTTTTAAAATATAGAATTCAGTATTATTTTATTATTGGTTTCTGATTTTTGTTAACATCTTTACTGGAGTATAATTGCTTTACAATGGTGTGTTAGTTTCTGCTTTATAACGAAGTGATCAGCTATACGTATACTTACATACCCATATCTCCTCCCTCTTGCGTCGTCTCCCTCTCACCCTCCCTATCCCACCCCTCTAGGTGGACACAAAGCATGAAGCCAATCTCCCTGTGCTATGCAGCTGCTTCCCACTAGCTATCTATTTTACATTTGGTACTGTATGTATGTCCATGCCACTCTCTCACTTCGTCCCAGCTTATCCTTCCCCCTCCCTGTGTCCTCAAGTCCATTCTCTACGTCTGTGTTTTTATTCCTGTCCTGCCCCTAGGTTTTTCAGGACCATTTTTTTTTTTGGTTCCATGTATATGTGTTAGCATATAGTATTATGTTTTTCCTTTTCTGACTTACTTCACTCTGTATGACAGTCTCTAGGTCCATCCACCTCACTACAAATAACTCAATTTCATTTCTTTTATGGCTGAGTAATATTCCATTGTATATATGTGCCACATCTTCTTTATCCATTCATCTGTTGATGGACACTTAGGGTGCTTCCATGTCCTGTCTACTGTAAACAGAGCTGCAATGAACATTGTGGTACATGACTGTGAATTATGGTTTTCTCAGGGTATATGCCCAGTAGTAGGATTGCTGGGTCGTATGGTAGTTCTATTTTTGGTTTTTTAAGGAACCTCCATACTGTTCTCCATAGTGGCTGTATCAATTTACATTCCCACCAACAGCACAAGAGAGTTCCCTTTTCTCCACACCCTCTCCAGCATTTATTGTTTGTAGATTTTTTTGATGATGGCCATTCTGACTGGTGTGAGGTGATACTTCATTGTAGTTTTGATTTGCATTTCTCTAATGATTAGTGATGTTCAGCCATTCTTCCATGTGTTTGTTGGCAATCTGTATGTCTTCTCTGGAGAAATGTCTATTTAGGTCTTCTGCCCATTTTTGGATTGGGTTGTTTGTTTTTTTGATATTGAGCTACATGAGCTGCTTGTAAATTTTAGAGATTAATTCTTTGTCAGTTGCTTCATTTGCAAATATTTTCTCCCATTCTGAGGGTGGTCTTTTCATCTTGTTTATGGTGTCCTTTGCTGTGCAAAAGCTTTTAAGTTTCATTAGGTCCCATTTGTTTATTTTTGCTTTTATTTCCATTTCTCTAGGAGGTGGGTCAAAAAGGATCTTGCTGTGATTTATGTCATAGAGTGTACATGCCTATGTTTTCCTCTCAGAGTTTGATAGTGTCTGGCCTTACATTTAGGACTTTAATCCATTTTGAGTTTATTTTTGTGTATGGTGTTAGGAAGTGTTCTAATTTCATTCTTTTACATGTAGCTGTCCAGTTTTCCCAGCACCACTTATTGAAGAGGCTGTCTTTACTCCATTGTATACTCTTGCCTCCTTTATCAAAGATAAGGTGACCACATGTGCATGGGTTTATCTCTGGGCTTTCTATCCTGTTCCATTGATCTATATTTCTGTTTTTGTGCCAGTACCATACTGTCTTGATGACTGTAGTTTTGTAGTATAGTCTGAACTCTGGGAGCCTGATTCCTCCAGCTCCGTTTTTCCTTCTCAAGATTGCTTTGGCTGTTTGGGGTCTTTTGTGTTTCCATACAAATTGTGAATTTTTTTGTTCTAGCTCTGTGAAAAATGCCATTGGTAGTTTGCACTGAATCTGTAGATTGCTTTGGGTAGTATAGTCATTTTCACAATGTTGATTCTTCCAATCCAAGAACATGGTATCTCTCCATCTGTTTGTATCATCTTTAATTTCTTTCATCAGTGTCTTATAGTTTTCTGCATATAGGTTTCTTGTCTCCTTAGGTAGGTTTATTCTTAGGTATTTTATTCTTTTTGTTGCAATGGTAAATGGGAGTGTTCGCTTAATTTCTCTTTCAGATTTTTCATCATTAGTGTATAAGAATGCAAGAGATTTCTGTGCATTAATTTTGTAACCTGCTACATTACCAAGTTCATTGATTAGCTCTAGTAGTTTTCTGGTAGCATCTTTAGGATTCTCTGTGTATAGTATCATGTCATCTGCAAACAGTGACAGATTTACTTCTTCTTTTCCGATTTGGATGCCTTTTATTTCTTCTTATCTAGTCGCCCTACCCTCTACCCCAGCCTTTGACCTGACTGCCTACTCATATACACAAGATACGTTGACCAGTGTACTCTGACAAGGGAGCACAGAATTATGAAGCCAGGCCACCACTCTGTCCACCCTATCCTTGAGCTACAACCACACCCAATTTCTGAATCTAGTCTTTAGATCCCACTACTACATATTATCTTGCCCAGCAGATCTTGTGGATGGTCAACGAAGTGGTTGTATCAAGGCTAGGCTGTGGCTGTTTGACCTCCATGCTTCCTTCTCCAAGCTGTCCTAGAAGCTGAGGCAGAATTTCACCTGCACCTAGTTCACCCCAGAAAATCAGGAGACTGACACACTCATTGCTCTCTTCCCAAGGGAACACACCACGGATTCTCCCACATACCCAGGGAAGAGGCCACATGGAATCAGAGGCCAAAGGACAGAGGCTCAGACAGTTCAGACACCGTGAGCCATCATAGCATGATAAATCCACAAGTCTCTCCTCTAGGGAGAGGTAAAGCAGGCTTGTTAAACCCCTCCATGTTGTCCAGTGTAACTGAATTTCATAACCAAACAGATAGCACGTCATACCTTCACTAAATTTAAGATGATGATGGGGGAGCCAAACCTCTGAAGCATCTGGTCAAAGTGAAGAGCAGCCACATGGGCAAATGGATCTGCCTGATCCACTGGGGGGACAAAAAAAATGAGTAAGTACCAGAATGAAAACTGGTAAAGAAAGAATAAAAGAAGTACAGTGTTTTGTTTTGCATTATAATGTTTAAAGAAATGCAATTCAACTAATCTTCTGGTAGTTTCATGTCTCAAATTCCTCTCGAGCTTATCAATCATTCTTCATGTATTTATTGAATTTGAATGATTCTTACATTTCTGAATATAAATAATTACATTTATATTTTATAATATAAATAATTTACTAGTGGCCAAAATTAAAAATACATATATAAATGTTATTGCATAAAAATATTAGTAGTCCTTCTTCTAAATGATCTACTCTTCAGTACTAAAACTTCATTAAAACCCAAGCATTTATGAGATTTCTGTGATAGTAGTTCACTACCTCTAAATGTGGGTAAAGAAGAGTTACTATTAAAAAAGACTGTTCCACGCACATGTAATAGGTGGCTTAGGCATCATAGTTGAAATGTCCTGAGACCAGTATAAGGGAACTGATCCTCTAACTTGCACATAAGAAGAATAACTTCCTGCAGTAAAAGACATGACAGAAGCATCGCAGAGTATTTGTTCCGTTTCCACTTCATTTGCAACATCACCCTGGAAAGAAAGGTGCATTTAAAAATATTTTATATCCTTAGAATTTTTTAATGGAAAAAATTTCAAGTACACAATGAAAATATAATTCCTAGTCTTAGAATGTTTTAAAAGAGGTAAATGTTGATCAACATTCAATGTGCATATTAAAAAAAGGAAAATCATTAAAATGCAATAAAGGAAGCAATTAAAAATAGCAGAGAATAGACAAGGGAAAAATCAAGTTAAGTAGCTAATACAAGTACTAGATAGAGAACAGCTTGAGTGATATAAATGGCAGAGAAGGAAACCAAAAAAAACCAATCACATGAAATTATACAGGAGGTTAGGAAGACCAGTGAAATATAAGAATTCAATTCTGAAGACCAAGGAGGAATAAAAGGACAAAAGAAAGAGATTCCAATAAAAGATGCCTGACGGAGAGAAAAAAAAAAATCTTGAGATAGCTTTACCTATAAAAGTATATGATGATATGACAAAGAATAATTTTAGAGGCATTAATAATGTACCTGTTTAATTACCCTTGAAATATTCAGAAGTAAAAAATAGAGTTGCAAAATTCTGCTTTTTTCTTAAAGCACCAGTTATAACTATGTTCACTGCTGATATAACTTTAAGAACAAATGTTGCTATTTTAAGGCAGGATCAAAACCCAATGTCTTGCTCAATCTGTCTACTCAATCACACATCTGCCTAAGATTCAAGTTGTCTGTTGCAAAGAGAGATGGAACACTCAAAGGACATTACATGACTGAAGGCAGGACAGAAAAATTTGTTGTTATTTTCTAGGGATGAGTAGAGAAGGAGTCTGTCTTGAGCCAAACGAAAGCAGAGGGAAGGGGGTAAAGGGTTTCCCATGCCTTGCTCTACTCAGTCTTCTTATCAAGGATGCATTTCCAATGAGTGCTCCCCTCCATTTATTCCTTGGGTGGAGGTGCTTTGCTATTTTAGTCTCTCCACTAAATATGTACTACATTTTTTCATATATTACAGAAATGACTCATCCTCCAAAACATTAGACATTTCATAACCCCCTAAGGTATTGCATAACTCTAAGACAGTTGATTTTTCAGAGTATCTGTACATTAGTCATATTTCTCACAAGTTTCCGATACTCTAGAGAATTCATTATTCTCTTGATAATGTCCCAAACTAAGAAATTCCACTTTCTAAAATTCCACTTTGCTTCACCTGCCAGCAAAGCTGATGTAAAAAGTTCAATCTCCAGCAGTGTTGTTGTTTTCCCATCTTACCTCACAGTTTGCACCTCTCTTGAGAAAACGGGTCCCAGCGAACTTACTGGATCTTCTAGCTATTAGAGTGACATACACAGGTCGTCCATAGATCAACAGCTCTTGGAAATCAAGTTAAAGCTGTTTAGCATTCATGACTGTCACACCAAACCAAGAGAATCATTACACCCAATATACTTTGTCCAGTAGGTTAAAGAACACCAAAAAGCTCCACCCAAGAATGGAACAACATTGGGTCTAACTGTTCTTTCCAATTATGCAGGTATTAAGGCAAAAACGAACTTCACTAAGGAGTGGTTTCCATGAACTTCAGAGGAAATGGTAACCAGATGTAGGGTTATCGGCCAAGGGAAGACCTGTGGTCCCTCCTTATAGCCAAGTATGGATGTAAACAGGTACAACTAAACCTTCCTTAGTCTTCAGAGACCATATACCTGTCAAAGTGAGCAAATGTCACTTAACAGGGTGTTTGAATTATGAAGCAATAGATAACTCTGAGGGAATGGAGTTAGTATAATACAGTGAGAGTACCCAAATTTGTCACCTAACTGCAAAATTGAACACTGGGAACTGTTTAATCAAAATAACGTTTATTAATTATGTCACCTTATTTAACTTTCTGAGCCTCCATTTCATCTTCTGTAAAACGGTATAAGTACTAAAAAACATAACCAATTTTATTAGGTGGTTGGGAAGACTAGGTTAGGTAATGTGTGTAATGGTTACTACTGCCTGGCCTATAGCAAACGTTCAGTAAATAGCAATGACTTTTATCTCATGTAGACTTCCAGAATTCATTAAATGCTTGATAACTGGGAGCCTGGAGTCAACATTTCAACGAACGAGCTTTAAAATTATAATCTATGGTGCTATTCACTACTTAAAAAAAACCCATTTATTGTACTTATGCCAGGCCCTGAGTTAGCTCTTGAGAAATACAAAACAGTTTAGAATTACCTTTTAGAAACTGTCTTTAGCAACTGTAGCACATTCCTTTTAGTGTCCTTGGTGGTGCAAACTGTGTGCTTTTACAGGTTGATTTTACTTTTGGAAGCAGAAAGAGTATTTCAGAGCCAAATCTCATTATTCAGTGAATGATCAATCAGATAGTACCACTCATTGGTTGAAAATGATTACAAAGTAATGAGCCATTTCAAGTGTAGCACACAAATCTCACTCATCTTCATTCCCAAAGTCCTCTGCGTCTTCACCCAGCCTCTCCTTGCCCTCGTTTGCCACCAAGAAGGCAGCACAGGTCCTCTTCAAGGCTCATCTCTCCAGCTCTACCCCCTGACTCCACTCCTCCCAAAAGGTCTGATGCAAGAAAGCATAATATTGGTTCATCACATTCACCCACTTAATGGTCTCAAAACAACCACTCCTTTAAAGTTTTCACTCTAGGTTTTTAAAAAACCTAGAACACAAGGAAGAATGTCAACTAGAAAGCAGGCTAGGCGCACAAATGCCCTACATGATCTCAAAAGGGGACAGGAAAAACCAAACCACCACTCCTAGAAAGAAGACACTGCCTTCCTAAACCTCATAACGTAATAGCACACGTTGAGAGGTTTCAACATAGCGAAATTAAATAAAAGGACAAAAGGTATTTATAAAATTGAACTCATCAGCTTAATCCAAGGCTCAACCTATGTCTATTTAATCTATTATGCCCTAATCCAGACCTTCATTACATTATGCCTGAACCACTGCAATCTTTTCCTAACAAGTGTCCCTTGTTCTAGTCTCATTTTACTTAATCCACCTTGAAAATAGCTATCCACTCAAGCTTCCTAAGTACTAATTTGTATGTTACCCTCCTGAAAAAAAATTTTCAAAAGCTCTAGCGCCAAACCCAAAGTCCTTGGTCCGACCACCAAAGCAATCTGGCGACTGGCAGTCTGACTCCCCCTAAACGATCTCCTTCCCACTACACTGTACCTCCCAGGGGTTTTATCGATATATACAAGCCACAAGTACACTCCCATGAACTTTTCCATCTCTACATTCATGGTGCTTCCCCAATCCACAATCTCATTGCCAAGGCCTGCCTTTTGACTGAGGCCAGGCCAAGTTCAACTCTTCCTGTGAGCCTGCCCCATCCTCCCCGCCTGTCAGGGATTCTGCTCCTTCTCTTCGGTAAGAATGATACTTACTACCTGTATCACTTCCTATGCACATAGGTTTTCTTCCTTGTTATTTGTCTGTATACATAGTAGATCTGCATTCCTGTTTGTATTTCAACTACGTGGAATGCATAGGTAATTATAATCTATCTGTTGGATGCACAGACAATTGTAATCTTATAATTCATACATAGCTTTCTATAAATCGGTACAGCGTAAGTTTAATAATATGTATCTTAATTTTTTTAAAAAAGGATACTTGACTGCCCACAGAACCCATGAATAATATACAGCAGCCAGTCACGATGGACAGTATTTTTAATTATATCCAGAAGTTCGCCGTTCCACACGTACTTCATATAAGGCTCACTACAGATCCCAAATACACCTGAAAAATAAGAGTTGGTATCAGAAAGATAAGGAAATTGGTTGACATTCGTTTTTAAGTTCTTAAACTTTTGTTTTTAATTTCAAAATGCCTGATCAATATCATTGCTGTTTTCAGTAGATATAACTCATCTCGTTGCCCAGAACACTGTGCTGATTCTGTACAAAGTTAAAGAAAACACACATTTTCTGATCTGTGAGTTTTTAACCTAAGAGAGAAGAAAACAGCTGGGAAATTAAGGAGAGGTGTACAAATACATGAATAAGGCCAAGAGACAGCAAGGACTGCAGCTGGGAGCATGGCTCTGGTGTCAGAGTGCCTGGGTCCAAATCCGAGCTCTGCCTCATCAGCAGGGTGACAGGTGTGACCAAGAGGGTTACTTACTCCCAGTGCCCCTGTTTCCTCATTTGTGCCTGTATCCTGGGATTGTTATAAAGATAAGTTGATAATGTACATAAAGTGCTCAGAACAAGTCTGGTGTCTTACTGATACTTCCATAAGTGGTAGTTGTTATCATATCAAGCTTTTTCTATACAACAAAACTAATTTCATCAAGCATGACTTCAGGATATCCAAATAAATTTATTAAACATCAATGAGTTTTACAAAACTTATATAAAGTACAAAATAAAACAAGTATATTTAAAAGATAATGGCTTAAAAGATCGTTAACAGTTCTGGATAGAGGCAGTCAATACTCTTCTCAAAACATGTATGTTAAGAGTGTTCATATACTATGACAAACACTTTGGTTTTATTCATAAAAACTAAGCCTTCTCTACCTCTTCAATGACATTACACTGAGCATGAATAATGGATTGGAGTCCTGTCTTTGCCACTTACCAGCTCTGTGACCTTTGGCAAGTTACGTAACATCTCAGAACCTCAATTTTCTAAACTGTGAAATGATGGTAGTACTCACCGCAGAGATATTATTCAGATTAAAAAAATAATATATGCAAAGTGACTAACTTGCTGCCTGACACATTAGAGATTTTTAAAAAATGTATTATTTTCCTTTTCTACCTACCCCGATACCTATTACCCTCACCCTCTCTTTCCTATCAGTTTCCCCCTGTGTAGTAGGAGAATAATGCATCCCTCCCCTACAGAAAAGATGTCTATGTCCTAATCACCAGAACCTGTGAATATGTTATGTTACAATGGCAAGAAGGAATTAAAGTTGCAGATGGAATTAAGGTTGTTAATCAGATGACCTTAAGATGGGGAGACTATTCTGGATTGTCCAAGTGGGCCCAATGTAATCACAGGTCATTATAAGTGAAAGGGGGAAACAGGAGTGTGTCAGAGTGATGTAATGTGGGAAAACCCTCGGCCGGCCATTGCTGGCTTTGAAGATGAAAGGGGCAAGAAAATGGATTTTTCCCTAGGGTCTCAAGAAAGGAACGCAGCCTTGCTGACACTCTAACTTTAGTCCACTGAGACCTCCTTTGGACTTCTGACTCCCATAAGATAATAAATTTGTATAGTTTTAAGTCACTGAGTTTGTGGTAATTTCTTATAGCAGCTATAAAAACCTAATACACAGTTATTCATATCTATTAAGTAGAACTGCTTGACAGATAGTAAAAAATTAAGTAGCTTTCAGAGGCTTAATTCAGATCCCAGAACAGATATTCAAATTCAGATGTGAGATGAGACATAGTGCAAATTTGGTAATACTTTTAGCTTTTCTATTACTAAGTATGATATTTAGAAGAAATGATGTGACAAATATTCAGGCACACATTATTTTACCCTCCACCTGTCTCTAGGGGTACAGGTTACAATCCAGATGTCTGAACCATGGCAAATTTACGTGATCTAGATGTTTTGGGGTAGGGAGGGTGCACTGGGTTTGGCCTTAGCTCAAGAGATATTCAATCTAATAAACTAACAAGAGTCAAGGCAATAACAGAGACGGCATTCAGTCTAAGTAACAGTCTAAGTCTTCTTAGAGTGGACCAGAACCTTTGGCAAAATGCTAACAGAGTACAGCCTCTTTCTGTGTGTCCTGTAAGGACAAACCTTCTGGAACTTACATTCTACCTCTGCACTCACATCTCCATCACTATATAGAAGGCGCACTGAGGAAGGCACCCAAAGACACTACTAACTTTTTATGTTTCCATAGTAAGCCCAATTCAGTTAAACTGTCTTAAGTTTGAAGCAATTCCTTCACAACATTAACTCTAGCAATGTCTCTGGCTTTAGATTTCTAGACCAACCCCCAAATCCAGGGATAAAGGTACCAATACTATTCTGTGACTGGTTAGTCCCAGATGTCCAGGGCCACTCTAGACTAGTCACACACACGTCCTGCAGTAATCCCACAATGGTCTTGACAGAAGCAGGGCTTGTGAGGGACCAGAGGGGCAAGTTGAGACCAATCAAAGTCAGAACAGCCTCTGACCTATTGCAATGGTTCCTCTAGACACTGGCCTTGCGATCTTAATCTCTAGGCCTCATTTTCCTACTTAGCCTTTATTTCTTTCAAAGTAGCATTATACCTACTGAGCAGAGTTTTTATGAGGATTAGAGATATGACATATAAATGTCTAGGATACAATAGGCAAGCCATGGTAACTGTTTTCTAAAACTCAACCCATACACAATTGGTCTCTATGAAGAAAAATAAGGTGGTGATGTGTAGTCTCCAATATTTAAAAAGAAAATTCTCCATTCAAGGACTAAACTGAATGTATTCCATAAAAGGTGCATGAAATTTTGCTAGAAAACATCAGTATACAATTTTCTGGCTTGCCCACAAATGAAATTCATTGGGTGATGCATGATCTCTATAAAAATGAATTGGTCAAGTTCCTATACCTGAAACAACCTGATATAAGGACAAAGAGCAAAGAGGAAAGGAGAAATGTGAGTGAATTTAATGAGATGCCGTTTCATAGATGCCACATTAACATATATTGGATGTGCTGAAAACCACCTACCGCTTCCACCCTGTGTAATTAATCCTTCATCTTCAAAGATGTCAAAACTCTCCTGGCGAGTCTGGGTCGTTTCTGATTTTAACATCTCCAGGGGCATACGCAATACAGTGAGATTATATTGAAGTGAGTGGGACAAATCATAGCTGTAACTGAGAAAAGAACTGAAACTTAATAAGAATTAGAAAAGCAAAACATATTTCATAGTCTTGGCTCCCAGAAGGAATTAAAACCTATGAACTAAATTACTTAGCACCTGTTAGTTTCCTTGGAAGCAATGCTGTACAAATAAGCACATTAAAACACAGTAAACCATGAATATAACTGGAAATTAAAAAATCACTGCATGACTTAGGCATTTGCATAACTAGAAATATACAATACAATGTGAGTAACCTACATTAATTGATTTGCAGTGTGCATTTTTTGCTTCACGCTGAAATTAATCTAACTTCAGGGCCTTGTACAAAGGGGTCACACTCTCATATATCTGAATGGAGTACTAAAAATGTTACAATATCCACTGCAACAGTACTGTACTCTAGTTTACCTATGAATGAAAAGAATTCTATTAATTATTACTGGTGGTACAATAACTGACTTAGTAATAAAACAAGAATAAGCAAATAACACAAGCCATCACGGTAAAATATGTTTGAAAAGCATAACAGTCATGCAAAAAATTGTAACAGTCTGTGCAAACAAAATTTGCACAAAATTAACAATTTTTATAAGTATCTCTAGCTATATATTTTTAGCACAGAATTTCAGACAGTATCTAGAATTCTTTAGGTTTACACAAATTTGAAAGTATTTTAGTCATATTTTAAGATGGTTACAATTTTGTCTGGAGACTCACATACATATTTTAATTATTTCTTCCTCAATTTATTAATTATCAAATTATTGATTTACTATTTATTTGTTTGAAATTGATTTATTTCATCTGTGAAATTAAGTTTTACCACATTTGCTCGATAGAGCCATTAGCTTTACTAGCATCTAATCTCACAGGGGTAAAATCTGTATTAAAAAGTTGGTTTTGGGGTTTCCCTGGTGGTGCAGTGGTCGAGAGTCTGCCTGCCAATGCAGGGGACACGGGTTCGAGCCCTGGTCTGGGAGGATCCCACATGCCACGGAGCAACTAGGCCCATGAGCCACAACTACTGAGCCTGCGCGTCTGGAGCTTGTGCTCCACAAGAGAGGCCCGCGCACCGCGATGAAGGGTGGCCCCTGCTCGCCACAACTAGAGAAAGCCCACGCACAGAAACGAAGACCTAACACAGCCAAAAATAAATAAATTAATTAATTAAATAAAAAAAAAAGTTGGTTTTTCAATCGCATTTACAAGAGCATAAAAAATGCTTAGGAATAAATTTAACGAAGGAGATAAGAGATCTGTACACTAAAAATTATAAGACATGGATGAAAAAAATAAGACACAAATAAATGGAAAGATATCCAGTGTTCATGGAACAGAAGAATTAACATTGTTTAAATGTCCATACTACCCAAAGGCATCTATAGATTCAATACAATCCCTATCAAAATGCCAATGACATTTTCCACAGGAATAGAAGAAAAACAATTCTAAAATTTGTATGGAATTACAAGACTCCTAATAGCCAAAGCAATCTTAAGAAAGAAGGACAAAGCTGGAGGCATCAAACTTCCTGATTTCAAACCTTACTGCCAAGCTATAGCATTCAAAACAGTGTGTTACTGGCATAAAAAAGACACCTAGACCAATGGAATAGAGAGCCCAGAAATAAACCCACTCCTATATATAGTCAACTAATATTTGACAAGGGAGCCAAAAAGACTAATGGAGAAACGATAGTCTCTTCAATAAATGGTGCTGGGAAAACTGGACAACCATCAGCAGAAGAATGAAATTGGACCCCTGTATTACACCACTCACAAAAAATTAACTCAAAATGGATTAAAGCCTTAAATGTAAGACCCAAAACTATAAAACTATTAAAAGAAAACATAGGAGAAAATTTCCTTGACACTGTTCTTGACAAAGATGTTTTTTGGATATGACACCAAAAGAGCAAGCAACAAAAGCAAAAATAAACAAACTAAAAAGCTTCAAACTAAAAAGCTTCTGCACAGAAAGAGAGTCAGCAAAATAAAAAGGCAACTTATGGAAGAAAATATTTGCAAACCATCTAACTATTAAGGGGTTAATAGCCAAGATACATAAGGAACTCATACAACTCAACAGCAAACATACAAATAATCCAATTTTAAAATGGGCAAAAGACTTGAATAGACATTTTTCCAAAGAAGACATACAAATGGCCAACAAGTGCATGAAAAGTTGCTCAACATCACAGTAGAGAAATGCAAATCAAAACCACAATGAGATATTACCTCATACCTATTAGAATGGCTATTATAAAACAAACAAAGAAACAGTAAGGGTTGGCAAGGATGTAGAGAAAAGAGAACCTTTTGCACTGCTGGTGGGAATGTAAATTGGTGCAGCCACTATGGAAAACAGAATGAAGGTTCCTCAAAAAATTAAAAATAGGGCTTCCCTGGTGGCTCAGTGGTTGGGAATCCGCCTGCAAATGCCGGGACATGGGTTCAAGCCCTGGTCCAGGAAGATCCCATATGCTGCGGAGCAACTAAGCCCGTGTGCCACAACTACTGAGCCTGCGCTCTAGAGCCCGTGAGCCACAACTGCTGAGCCCCATGCCACAACTACTGAAGCCTGCACGCCTAGAGCCCGTGCTCTGGAACAAGAGAAGCCACTGCAATGCGAAGCCCACGCACCACAACGAAGAGTAGCCCCCGCTCGCGGCAACCAGAGAAAAGGCCGCGCACAGCAACGAAGACCCAACGCAGCCAAAATCAATAAATAAATAAAATTAAATAAATTTTTGAAAAATTAAAAATAAACTACCATATGATCCAGCAATCCCATTTCTGGGTATATATCCAAAGGAAATGAGATCACTATCTCAAAGAGGTATCTGCTCCCCCACGCCCACTGCAGAATTAATGACAACAGCCAAGACACAGAACAACCTGAGTCCATTAACAGATAAATGGATAAAGAAAATGTGGCATATATAAATAATGGGGTATCATTTGGCCATAAAAAAGGAAATCTTGCCTTTTGCAACAACATGGATGGACCTCGAGGGCATTATGCTGAGTGAAATAAGTTAGACAAACAAAGACAAAGACTATGTTCTCACTTACATGTGGAATCTTAAAAAGCTGAACTTATAGAACGAGAGAGTAGAATAGTAGTTGCCAGTGGCAGGGGGAGGAATGGAGAAATGTTGGTCAAAGGGTACAAACTCTTAGCCATAAGATAAATAAGATCTGGATATCTAATGTACAGAGCATGGTAACTATAATTAACAATACTGAATTATATACTTGAAATTTGTTAAGGGAGCAAATCTTAAATGTTATCACTACACGCGCACACACACACACACACACATACACACAATCACAACTGTGTGATGGGATGAAGGTGTAAACTAACCTTATTGTGGTAATCATTTGCAATATATACATGTATCTATACATGTATCAATCATCACATTGTACAACTTAAACTTACATATGTCAGTAATATCTCAATAAAGCTGGGGGGTGGAGAGAAGTTGGGCTTTTACTTTTTTTTTTTTTTTTTTTTGCAGTACGCGGGCCTCTCACTGCTGTGGCCTCTCCTGTTCCGGAGCACAGGCTCTGGACGCACAGGCTCAGCGGCCATGGCTCACGGACCCAGTCGCTCCGCGGCATGTGGGATCTTCCCGGTCCGGGGCACGAACCCGTGTCCCCTGCATCGGCAGGCAGACTCTCAACCACTGCGCCACCAGGGAAGCCCTGGGCTTTTACTTTTAAAATCAATTCTTCCTGCTTTATTCTAGCTGAATCATAACAATGCAGTATAATCTTTCCAGAAGTCTTTAACCTCATATTTTTACTTATGGAATGACTTGTTCAGAACTCAGTATGGGGATGCAGACGAAGCTGAAAATGGTGAATCAGGAGAAGACCATTTCTAACAGTACCACTGAGCTTCAGTAATAACTCACAGAGACTATAAACATAATTAAGCAATAAAGGCTGAAAAGCAAATGATGGAAACAAATACAATGGAAATATACTTTCAATAAACATTGGTGGAAGCAAAAATTATTTCTTTAGGAGCCCTTCACTATACTATTGCTAAATTAATTAACTGTCTTCGGTTTCACATGAAGACATAATCCACTCTACACAGTAGACAAGTTTTTCTTTATTTCATAAAGAAATGGTTAACTATATTAACAGTTTAAAAATAAATTTAAAATAATGCAAAGTACCCCAAAAGTATGTAACACCAATAGCTACAACACTCTGGGTCCTCTTCTAGTCCCATGACTCAAGTCCTTATTGCTATATGCTATTTTATGTTCTACTTTTGAGTTTGGACATTATAGCTGAAAGAAAGTTATTTGGCTACATGGAAAATTCTATTTACCTGGCCTACATATTGGTCACATCATCAGTGGTATAATATTTTATCATGATGCTCTGCTATACTTTGCTTGCTTATTTTTCAATTATCGATATTTGGGTTGTCCCTGTGTTTGCTGGTTTGCTTGTTTGGGCCATGATAAATAGAGAAGCTATTAATGTCCCTTTACAAATAAGGATTAATATTTTATCTCCTGATTTATTACCTTCAGGCATATTTTCATATATACTTAATGCTACGTTCCTCTCCAGGAAAGTTAGTAATTTACAATGCCAGTACGGTATGTTGGTATTTCAACAGTTCTTCTTATTTTGAATTTATTTTTACCTAATTTTGCTAGATTGTTAAATTGAAAACTGTGAAACTGTTACAACTCTGTATATAGACTGAACGCAGATTTCATTTTTGTAGTTCAAAACTAAAAGATATTTCCTTAAAATTCTAATAAAGATGATTTTTATAGTGAGTATAATTACAATTTATCCATTCAAATTTTCAAATATCAGATTTTTAAAAGGAGGAAATACTTGTATTTGTACTATTTTAGATGAAAAACTTTGGCTATTTTAAAAAAAAGAATAACTGAAGTACTACTGATTCTGTTTTTACCCTATGGAAAATTATATAAACATTTAAGAGAATGATAAGAGCAAAATTCAGCTCAAACATACCTAAAGTAAAAATTGCTGGACAGGTCCACATTTTGAAATATTCGTAGATACCTGAAAAAAAATGATGACTATAGTTAACAACCTGATGACTATAGTTACCACTGCTATATGATATACATGAAAGTTAAGAGAGTAGATACTGAGTCCTCATAACAAGGAAAGAAATTTTCTTCTTTTTTTTCTTTTTCTTTTTATTGTATCTATATGAGATGACAGATGCTAACTAAACCTACTGCAGTAATCATTTCACAATATATTATATCTAAGTCAAACCATTATGCTGAACACCTTAAACTAACACAGTGATGTATGTCAATTTTATCTCAATAGAACTGGGGAAAAAAATGACCAAAAAACCCCAAAGCATATTGCATTCACACAACACCATTATTTGTTCATAGCTTAACATATACATATATATATACATTTATATTTGTAAATACACTCATTGAAACTGAGAAATTCAATCCATAACTGGAGAAGAGATTTCAACTGGAGCAATTTCTAAGTATCCTGATCATCACTTGAGACCCTTAACTTTAGTTTGACCGCTTCCTCATCACTGATTATGCCAGAGAGGGAAAGTCATGCCCTTACATACATAGGGCGCTTAGACTTTGGGCAAGACAGAAGTAAATACTGTTCTTGTTTTCACAATATGCTTTGAGGTTGGAGAGAGTAGAGGAACAAAAACAAGCAGAAATGTTTGTGGGTCACCATAATTTTAAGCTGCAAAGTTTTTTTAAACTGAAAAAAAAGTGCAGAATAAAATGTCCATGTATCTACCACTCAGGACTAATAAATGTTAACACTTTTTCATATTCATTTCAACCTTTTAAAGACACTGATCACAAATGGGTATTGAATTTGTCATATATATATATATATGAAAAATATATATATAAATATAAATACATACACACACACACACACATATTTTTGGCCACGCCGTGCGGCTTGCGGGATCTTAGTTCCCCAACCAGGGATCGAACCTGTGCCCTCGGCAGTGAAAGCACGGAGTCCTAACCACCGGACAGCCAGGGAATTCCCTCAAATACATTTTCTACATATATTAAGATAGTCATAATTTTTCCCAACAATATTTTAACATGGTGAATTGCTCTAGCAAATTTTATAATGTTGATACAACCATACATCAGAGGGGTAACATCTACTTATCATTTTGTATGAAATGTTTTATGGTACTTTATTTCCTAATATCATACCAAACATTTTTACTTAAATGCATTATTGGATTACATAGTTTTGTAAGTATGGTAAAAGTTTACCTATCCAGTAATAGTGTAAGTCCACCTATAACAAGCTATTAAAATAACTGTATCTTATTCTGGATTATTCCATTTACTATACAATATTAATCACAAGATAAGTTCATTCTTTAAAGACAGTCATATCACTATATAGAAGAGTGTAATTTGTTTTACTATTCTCAGCTAAAGAATCATAAAGATGAGGCTTATAAATAATATAAACCTCTTTAATTTTTCCCCAACCCTTGGATTTCTATGCACTGGCCTATCTGATTCACTTTTTTAAATTAATTTATTTTTTATTGAAGTATTGTTGATTTACAATGTTTCAAGCCTACAGCAAAGTGATTCAGTTATATATATATACACACACGTATATGTATATATATACTCTTTCAGATTCTTTTCCATTACAGGTTACTACAAGATATTGAATATAGTTCCCTGTGCTATACAGTAGATCCTTGTTTTTTATCTATTTTATATATAGTAGTGTGTATCTGTTAATCCCAAATTCCTAATTTATTGCCCCCCCTTCCCCTCTGGTAAATTTGTTTCTTATGTCTGTGAGTCTATTTCTGTCTTGTAAATAAGTTCATTTGTATCATTTTTTTAGATTCCTCTCTGATTCACTTTTATTCAATATACTATGCCTGCCTATAAGCTATAAGAGACATAATTTTTTTGTTCGTATAAGACAAAAGTCCACTCTATCCGGTAAACTCTACTTACCCCTGTGTAAACAAATTATGTTTTAAATACTCCACTTCCAAATACCAAAGACAATGCCACAAAGGTCCAGAAAACCACTATCTAAGAGGGTCTTAAACAAGAGAGCCACACCACCTTTAAATTCCAGTTCATGTATCTAGAACAACACCATGAAAGTACTGAGTGAAATTAAAATCTAAACTGTTACCTTCCCTAAAAACTTATAAGCATGCCTAACTTTGTTCCATTTTAACCTTTATAATATTAAAATAAACCAATTCTAATCTTTTCTCTATCATTTTATTAATTTATTAATAGCCTTTCCCCACATGCCCAAGGTTCCAGTAATTTCCCCCCAAAACTTTTTAAAGGTTTCAAATCCATAGAAAAATTGGGGGAAAAAATAGTGTAATAAACAGCAGTATATCCTTCACCTGAATTCACTGTTGAACATTTCTCATTATACATTTATACACACATACATTCTCTCTCTTTAAATATACATGTACATTTTATTTTTCTAAACCATTTACAGTAAGTAGCAGACATGATGAAACCTCAGTCCTAAATATTTTATTTTATATCTATTATGAACAAGGACAATCTCCTGAGTAACCACAATATCATTATACACCCAACATTTAATACTGATCCAATATCCCCTAGTATATAGTCCATATACAAACCGTTCCAGTACAGTCCTTTATAGCTGTGTGTGTGTGTGCGCGCACGCACGTGTACATGAGCATGCACACACATGTTTTAATCCTGGATCTAACAAATTCAAGTGTTGCACTTTGTCATGTCGATTCTAAACTCTAGAACAACTCTCTGGCTCTTCCTGTGTTGCACGACATTGACATTTTTGGAGGGTCCAGGCCAGTGTCTTACAGAAAGTCCCACAATATGGATTTATCTGATTATTTCCTCATGCTTAGATTTAAGTTAAATATTTTTAGTAAGAAAACTACACAGGTAGTGGGCGTCCTTCCCATTGCTTCACGTTAAGAGGTAAATAATGTCAGTTTTGTCTCATTATTGGTGATGCTGAATTTGATCATTTGGTGAGTATGTTTGCCATTTTTTTCTCTTTGTAAATAATAAAGATAGTTATGGAGTATGGTATGTTGAGACTGAGTGAATATCTGTTCCTCAATAATAACCTCTCACCTAATGGTTTTAGGAGCCATTGTTGATTCTTGCCCAAATCCATTGTTTTAATGGAGGGTTTTTAATAGCACTTGAACAAAAGCTGTAGCATTCTGAGCCAGTATTTTACATTTTAACATAACATTTATAATCTTTTGACTATGTTTTATTTTCTAATTGGTCTACCAGGTAAAAAAATAGCAGTTACCACCAGTACATACCTAGCTTCATCAGGATGAGTAATACGTACAGAATCATTGGGTATATAGATCATATTTGTATCTTCAATCTTATATATTGCATGACCTCCAATATCTGCCATCTTCCTCCTTTTGGTTATTAACACAATATAATAGCCTTCTAAAAACCTGACAAAGCCTACACAACAAAAAAAGAAAGATAAATACATTTCCTAAACTTAGTAATGCTTTTAGATACATGTTTAAAAGGCAAAAGACTTTTGACACATTTCCTACTTTATTATTTCTATGATTTACAGCCATACAAATTTTCGGTTGTCTTAGAATTATTCTCTAGAAATATTTATCTCACTTAAAAATATTGCTCTAAACAAACTGATTAAAGAAAGACCATATGTATTAATGTTCAGTAGCACTAAGTTCTCAGCAACACACTAGTTACCGCACAGTCTTGGTTAAAAATGTTCTGGCTCCCAGAACTTTTGCTTTGGGAGTTAAAACTAACTCTCTTGGTTGGTTGGGGGGAGAGGGAGGGGAACACTTCTGAACTGGTTACGTCAGGAGCTCAGCAGAGCCTCTCCCCAGTGAAACAACCACAACTGGTAAAAATTATAAAAACAAAACAAAACATTGAAAGTTTCTGGAAATTCTCCTAATGGCATACAGCAAGTGGAGAAACATTTATTCAAGAAAATCTACTAGATCTTGGAAAGAACAGGAAGTCTGTGACATACGAAACATCATTTGTTTCCCTTCTACACCCTTCTCCCAATTCAGTGGGACAGAATATCTACTCCCGGCAGGTGTTGCCAAAAAAGACAGTACCCCTTCCTCCCTCCCCAGCTCTCAGTCTAGAGCCTTGGTTTCTGCTCAGGAGGTGCAGGGCACCAGCATTTCCCATTCCTTCCAGCTCTGTGCTACAGACGCTTTATTCCAGGCAAGCACATCTGAAAGTGGGGGCTCCTTTCTTCTACCCAGTCCTACTTGTAGAGTGGAAGCTTTACCCCAGCACAAATACTGGATCCCATCACCCCCACTCACTGACAGGGTGAGTCAGATACGGTCACTTACAGCTGACTGCCCATCAGAAACAGTAGAGGCCAGAGGGCTGTGGGATAACATATTCAAAGCACTGAAAGAAAAACTCAACCAAGGATCTTATATATAGCGCAGCCATTTTTCAAAACTAACTTTCTTATGTGCATGTGTGGGTGTACTCACTCACTCTCTCTTTCTCTCTCTCTCTCTGTTACACTCTATAAAGCCTGAGCTAGGATCCTGGTGCTATAAATGGCTGCTCTAGATTTGGCAAATACTCATTGTCTGTGTCTTGTTATTCTTAACTGACAAAAAAGAAAATCAGTAATTGAACATATTAACATAAATGAGCCAAAATATATAAAAGACACCTCATGGATTTTATGAACCTGGTTACTTCTATTAAAACCATGAAAAATACTTATATTTGAGAGATCCACAAAGCACATTTTTAAAAAATGTTCGTTTATGCTCCTCCCCACCTCCCCTTGGAGACTAGCTAAAAATTCCCTGACTAAAGCTAACGGATTTAAGATAGGAGAAAAAGCTAATGTCAACCTCATTAAAAGTTAGGAAGCAGTTATCCTTTTAGAAGGCTAAAACCTACAAAATTAAGGGGCTTGGGAGCAGCATAAAAACACCCAAAAAAGAGAATCTAATTGGTTTTAAATAATAAATATTCCCAAGATGAATGAGTTTCCCCTTTGTTCTTGCTATATATTTACTTTTTATAGAAAAAAACCCTCTCTATAATAATTTCTTCCAACCTGCATTCCAACTGAATTTTAATTTTATGTTTTCAGCTCTGTTTCATCCTACATGTCCCTTCATAACTTTGATGAAGTAAATATACTGCACAAAAGAATATTTTCTACCAGCATAAAATGCTTTCAGCATATTATGAGATTATTTTCTTTTTCCTTTTTACTACCAGTTGGAAACGTCACTCCTTTTTAAAAGGTTCCTATCAAATATAACCAACAATTAAAAGGCTTTAGCTTGGCATAGACCTCTGTCAAGAGTCAGCCTATTCATCGTTTTAACATACTGAAAACCAGAACAAGTTTTTTCATCTTCATTCTACGTACTTCTGATCCCAGACCAATTTCCCTGAGTGTTTCCCAGATGCCTAGATGACAGTCATCACGCAAAAGTGATTTCTCTCTCTCTGAGTAGAGAAGGCTATGTCATTTGAATTGGAAACCAAGCAAAGTAAATAAAAAAGGACAGTGTGAGAGGATGGAGTGGTGTGGAGTTCTGGTGGCTGGAGAGGACCCACAAGCCCACCAACAGGTAAGAGGGCAGTATCCTGCTGGGAGGTCACCGTGTCAGCTAGTCACTATCTTAAAAGCCTTCAGGGGGCTTCCCTGGTGGCGCAGTGGTTGAGAGTCCGCCTGCCGATGCAGGGGACGCGGGTTCGTGCCCTGGTCCGGGAAGATCCCACATGCCGCGGAGCGGCTGGGCCCATGAGCCATGGCCGCTAAGCCTGCGCATCCGGAGCCTGTGCTCCGCAATGGGAGAGGCCACAACAGTGAGAGGCCCGCATACCGCAAAAAAAAAAAAAGCCTTCAGGGAAAACAGCACTCTGGCAGAGAAGTATCAAAAACCACAAGGGACCAAAGTGACTCTCTAACACCAAATCTACTGTTCCCTTACTAGTCTGAGGCTCACACTTTATTGTTGTTTTCCCTGTATCTTGGATCTGCAATCTATTTCTAAGGGTGTTGCTTTAAAGAACAACTGAGTCCATCACTTAGTCTGCTATAATGACACATTGTACTAGCAGCTTACAAGAGTATCTTCTGACAGGTGACACACGCAGAAAAAGGACGTATATCAAAAGGGGCTGGATGGTCACAGAGCTGAGAGTAGTAAGGACTACAGGCCACCAGCCACCGACTCCATCTGCGTGCCCCAGGACCAGATAAAACAACTATGTGAGGGATGCTCATGATCCCATCCCGTGGTCTCCCAAGCCTCCTGCTGGCTGCCAAATAACAATGGAGCAGGTCAGAAATGGGCAAGGTAGCTATAGGACAGGATCAATCCACGTCTGGGGACCAGTAATGGTCCCTGTGCTTTCAGTACCAGCCCATGAAAAGACAAGTAAACGAATTGAAAGTAAGGGTTTAGAAACATCTGAGTTCATGATCAATGAACTTGCCTTGAACAGGCAAGACTAGTTTGGGTATTACTGAACTTATGTGATGAATCACATGTGGCCCAAGCTGAAGACAAGCTATGCACAGTAGGATCCTGTGTTGGTCTGTGACACATTTCTGGAAAAAACTGGTTGGTCCTTTACTACAGATAGTTGAGAAGCACTGCTCTAGATTCTTATAGATTGTGAATTAAATTAACCACGATAACAGTCCAAAACATCCCAGCCAAAGTGCTATTCACAAATTAGGCATGCTGAAAAAGTTGAGAGAAAATATTTCAGTCACAGAAGACAACCACTCTAGTCCTTTCACACATGTATTATTTTGACAACCAGACTATACATTTTTCAAAGATAAGCATTTTGTGTTTTGCTATTTCAGTAGCCCTCATTATTTCTAAGGCAGTACTAGACAAATCATAGCCTTTTATTTACTCCCTATTTACTCTTAAAGATTCTAAGCTTTATTTACATGGTTGAACTAGAATACATAAAGTGCACTGAAATGCCCTGAAAATAACAAATGCTTACTTAGTACATTACTGTGTCACTCTACTGGTAGGTTAGTCTTTTAGTGACTTCACCATCCAAGGACAGGCTCAAAGAGGCCTCAAATTGCGAGAGAAATTGCTACCACAATACCTAAGAATGCCACCTAAGTGAAACATGGAGACACCTTCAGCCCTTACCCAAAGTTTATTAACTAATACTTGTGTATAAAATGAGTATCTGGTTATAAACTTGGTCATCAATTGATTAAAATAAAGCTTTGGTTTTATAAGCTTAGTTATCAACAGATTTAAAATGAGGCAAGGATGAAATGGGAGACTGGGATTGACATATGTACACTAATATGTATAAAATAGATAACTAATAAGAACCTGCTGTATAAAAATAAATAAAATAAAATTCAAAATAAAATAAAATAAAATGAGGCAAGGAATATTGCTAAAAGCAAATATGCCCAGAACGATGAAGAATGATGAAAGTACCATTACAACAACACAGTACAGCATCTAGAGGGCACTTAGTGTAAAGGCAAACTGCCCAATACAACTCCAGAACACCCGAGGGCAGCTATTTTTAAACATAGGTCAATAACTGATCTTCAATTCGTTATACTTAATCATCACGGAAGGTTCAATTTTGAATAATTAACCCTGGCTAATGAGGCATTCAATATTACATACACTTTAGGAAATTTCCATTTTAAAAAGCTGTAATAAAGTATCAGCATTTAAAGGAATGAATTTAACCTATTAAGTAACTAATTAAGCCTACTGTATTTGAGACACATTTTACTTACAAGTTTTTTTTCTTTAACATATAAGTAACACTTAAAGTGGAATTTAACACATATGGAATGTATGGAATTTAAACATATGAGCTCACTTGACATACACCGACATGCACACGCCCACAAACAGGTACCCATTAAACATGAAACCTCAAGGGATTTGTCAAGACTGAGCAGAATGTACAGAGAAGGGGCCAGTCCTATGGAGAGGAAATCAATCACACCTACCACTCTCAACTTGCCCTGGCAGCCGCCTAAGGCACAAAATGCACCTAAATGGATTACACATCGAAGGGCTATGAGAGCACACGGAGAAAAATGAACTGCAAATACGGCGGAACATGAATAATCAAAGTCTCAACAAATATAGGGTCACCAAAGAGAAAGTACTAATCAAAAAAATGAACATGAGAATATGAAACTATATAGCATAGTTCAGACCATATTAATTTTGTTAGCATCTATAGACACCAATCACTCAGTCAATATTGCATACAGTCCAGTAGGTTTAAGAAGCAGAGAGATAATTTTGTAAGTGTTAAAAAAAAGACTCAAAATAAGGCTCTGCCAACAGGGAAGCTGAGATACAACTGCCCTCTGCTTGGCTTCCAAGGTCCCAGTGACCTGGCCTCACCCAACTACTTGCCAGCATCCCAGGACCCATGGGCATCTTCATGCCCGCACCTCTGCTGTTGCCCCTACTGGAGCTCTCTCCTCCCTTCCCCACATCCATCCAAATCTTGCTTCTCCTCCAGGGTCCAGCCTGAGTCTCATCATCTTCAGGAAATCTTTCCTTGTCATTCCAGGTCCAAAAAGTCTACCCCTCTTATGTAATCTCCAATACCATTTACCTTTGACTACACAGCTGGGCTCTTAATTCCAATCCTGGAGTTGTTTTCATATGCACTGGGTTTTGTCCCCCATCCTAGTCCAATCATCTTAAGACTCCCCGGGACAAACCCATGGTAGAGCAAAGACAGGTTTACTGACCCACTAAGGACAACACACCAGAAGAACTGTGAGGCATCTCACAAATGCCCCACAAGCCAGACCACAGACTACTTAAAGGCCAAGGCCATTTCTATATTTGTTCATGAATAAATATAGGCGTTATTATAGGATTTGGGGACACGATTAGGTAAAATTTAAACAAAGAGACTCAAACCAAAGCAAGACTGTATGTAAAGAGATAAACATCAAGTCTAGATTGTGAAGCAGACTCGTGGTCTCATTTCTTTGAAAGCAGCAAAGTTAGCAGAGCTGTAGACTGTTGTGTCCAGAAACCCCTTATCTGAAACTCTGCATGAGTTGTCAATCGAGGCTGCTTCTCTGTGTCAAAATGACTTAGCTCATACAGGCAAGAGGGGCATGTTTTCTCTTACTGACACAATTTTAAAGAGCAAAGTTTCTGATAGCCTGTGATTTTAGAGAACAAAGTTTCTCAGTGAGTAAGAAAGCAGTTGTCATTCAGAGAAAGGGGTTATGACACTTTACACTGTAGCATGTCCTTGGGAGAGATTCCTCTTAATTTAAAAGCTGGTTTTACCTGTATCTGTTTTTCCAGCTGATGTTTACAGTCCAAGCCAATTTTTACTTTTTCATTCCTTGACAAGACAGACTCCTTAAAGGTCCACACCATCGCTACATTTGTTCCTACCCCACACGAAACTGAACACAGTCCTAAGCACATAGCAGATGCTATATAAAGGCTGTTTGATACTTGGCTGATAGATAATTCAGTTTTAAACAACCAAAGCCACAGAGGATGGGTCATATTTATAAACCAATATAAATATAAGCCTTGCAAACTATCTTCAAGGAGTCTATGTAGGAAAAAAAAAAAAAAAGAGGTAGTAAGAGGGATGCATGTTTCTTACCTACAACACCAAAAGCTGAAACAGCTCGAAATAACCCGGATGATCCTTTCTGTCCCATCTTTGTCCTATTTCCTAGATCCAAGCGGCCAAGAAGTTCTCGCACTTCTTGCTGAGTATATACATGCTAGAAATAAGCAAATTTAATCTGTAAGGTTGTGCTCGCTTTTTAGGTTCATTATTTAGTTACCCCTGAAAATTAGAAGTTGCCTAAAACTTTACATCATTAGCTATTTCAGAGAAGTAAATATAATAGTGCAGGACTAAGTTACAATTTAAAAAAGCCAACAAATTCTTTTTTTTTTAACATCTTTATTCGAGTATAATTGCTTTACAATGGTGTGTTAGTTCCTGCTTTATAACAAAGTGAATCAGCTATACATATACATATATCCCCATATCTCCTTCGTCTTGCGTCTCCGTCCCATCCTCCCTGTCCCACCCCTGTAGGTGGTCGCAAAGCACCGAGCTGATCTCCCTGTGCTATGCGGCTGCTTCCCACTAGCTATCTATTTTACGTTTGGTAGTGTATATATGTCCATGCCACTCTCTCACTTCGTCCCAGTTTACCCTTCCCCCTCCCAGTGTCCTCAAGTCCATTCTCTACCTCTGCGTCTTTATTCCTGTCCTGCCCTAGGTTCTTCGGAACCGTTTTTTTTTAGATTCCACATATATATGTGTTAGCATACGGTATTTGTTTTTCTCTTTCTGACTGACTTCACTCTGTATGACAGTCTCTAGGTCTATCCACCTCACTACAAATAACTCAATTTCGTTTCTTTTTATTAAGGCCAACAAATTCTTTAACGTTAGCAGTTAAGGGTGGTTCCTGGATCCCAGGCTGCTGTACTAAAAAGGTGTATCAAAACCTTATCTTCTGGACAGAGATTCAGAGATTTAAGGTACCCACAGACAAGTTTCAAGAAATCTATAAACCCCTTAAAATTGTATGCAAAGTTTTGGTTAAACGTGCATATGTGCATTTTTATGAGAAGGCCCATAGCTTTCCTTAGATTCTCAAAGAGATCCCTGATCAACCACTCCTACCCACAAAGAAAGCCAAGAATCATTACATTATATTAATAAAAACTCCCAGATGGTGTGTGTGTTGGGGATGGGATAGGAACCACGACACCCAGGAGTACAGGAAGTCACAAAATACAATTTATCTAAAATTATTATAACATAGAAAATAGCTTTGCAAAGAGCTTATGTAAAATGGCTTCCAAACTGTAGCTACTAACATATTTGAAAAACCAGGCATCTACATGGATTCAGAAATATTCACAGACAGGAACCTCAATACAAAGGGTCAGTCAGGTGCTCTCATTTGAGAGTTAAAATTAACTGGTCAATTCCACCTTATTGTACTTCCCTTTTGACTAAAAGCCTCATATTTTTGAGCCACCTGAATTAAGTCTGTATTTCCAACTCTGGATAATATAACATCTGGATAAGAATAGCTTAACATTTCTCCAGCAAGTGATCAGAAGAGACCCTACCAGTCCTTTGTGACTTCAAGTAGCTTCATATTAAAGCAGAGTAATAAATAATCTCTTTGGTGGATGAAATACTAAGAATTATATTGAATCCTTAAAATGGAACTCCTTTAAGGAAATATATTCATTATCTTACCCAAACAGTTTGCTTTGTAAAACAAATCAAAATGAGGGACAAAGTGTAATTCTGGCATACTTTCCGACATCAGTAATTTCCAGAAACCAGATAAAAGATTCAAATTCTAGCCAACCATGAAAAATTATAATTTTTAGATGTATGATAAAAAAAAAGTCTATGTCACTAGAAGCTGTAAGGATAGTTCATATCCTGTAAACGACAAGCACAAGTTTCTGTTTGTATTCAGGTTTTCAAGATACTTACCCTATCATCAATTATTACCAAATCTTTTGGTTCTGTTCTATCAATTTTCAAAACACGATATTTTGTTTCTGCATGATTGCTCCCAACTAGAAAGTATCTCTATAAATAAAAAGAAATGTCATTAGTTTTTTAAGGCAGTTTTCCTTATACACATTTTATAGTCACTTCAATTTTTTTAATTAAATACAGTAAAGTCAGGTTACTTTTTAAAAGAAATATTTCTGTTAAGTATAACTGGCAGATTAAAGAAAGGCTGATTCTAAAAGGTCAACTTTAAAATTGAAATATTCGTAGTGGTGTCATGATAAGCATCAGTCTGATATTTAAAATGTACCCAGTAACCAGGCCAGATGAATTTAATTATATTATACAGAGATTAACCTGATTGGAGACTCATGTTTAAACTTTACCAGGAAGCAGCAGCTCTGGTAAGAATTAGAAAGCTCAACACATAATTAGGAATGCTTACACAATTATAGCTAATTGATATAAATCAATATCAAATATTGATATTTTAATCAAATAAATCTTTACAAATTTTCTGTAGAAGACTAAAAATGACTTTAATATAACTATAAAAATCCACCCCTAAGTCCTATAAAAGATTAAAATGAGTGTACTTTCCCAAATGGCTTTTTATAGATAAGCTACAGGAAATAATTAATATTCTTTCTTTTCTGACACACTTCCTTGGAGTGTGTGTAAAAATACAGAAAAATAATCATCCTATATTCAAAGAAAATGCTTCAAAGAAAATGCTAAACCAGATGAATAAGTTTTGAATTGTGTTTAAGAAAGTAAGTAAAACTCCATTAGGAAAAATAAATTAAAGATATATTGCTTCAAAAAAGTCCTTTGAAGTGACACTTTTTCAACACTGCAAAAACTGAGAACACCTTGCTACCATCAACTGGCATCTAACCATCTCATAAGTCACATAGATACAGATACACAAAGCAATTAAATAACAAATAAGATTCTCTAGATTAATGGCCAAACTGAAGTATGTAGACCACAGGATCTCAGAGCAGGAAAGATTAATGTTGGGTACTACAGATGCAGAAAACGTCAGAGGAGTTAAGACTTGAATTAAGCCTCAAAGGATGGGGAAGATTTTTTAAAGTAAGAATTTATAACAGAAGATATGTACAACAGAATATAAGCACTTGGTTATATTGTTTTAATGCTAAATCTGTAGAAATAGATGGATTTTTAAATTATTAAGTATATATCTGTTTATAAAGATCTGACCTAGACTTCCAGATTATAAATAACAAAACTCTGTGTTAAAAGATGATGGCTTAGCCCAGACTTAAGGGGAAAGCTAACCAAAATACTGAATCCCTCATCTCCTAGGGAGAGGTAGAGTCTGGATGACGGTACCAATTATCATGAGGTAGAAATAGAGCAATTATAATAAAAATTAGTAAACTAATTCGAGACATCCAGTGACCAGGATGCACTGGGGAAGCAGCTAGAAGGGCAAGGACACAGTGAGAGGGAATAAGTCCAACGTTCTCGGGATGACCTCAGCGAATTCCTCCCTGAGACCCTACCCACCCCTGAGAGGAGAACAGGGTCACCAGCCTAATAAAATCAACCTCAGAAGAATGGTTTGTAAACTATACATGTTTGTTAGCAGAAAAGGGAGCCACCTTCTTGAGGACTTGAGGAAAAACAGTTCCCAGGAAAGGAAACAGCAAGTGCAAAGACCTGAAAGGGGAAGAAGCTTGGCGAGTTTGTTAGAGGAACAAGATCAAAGGAGAAGATGCTCATAAAACACCTAACACAGTGAATAGTGTTCAATACAAAGAAGGCACTCAATGAGTGTTACTTCCTTTTCTTTGCTTTACTTTTTAAGATGTCAGCGAGCCTATGCCATTGTATTTGAGAAAAAGATCCCCAAAAGAGAGGAAAAAAGAGATACCCCGGAGGGAAAAAAGCATATGCAACACCAGAATGGAACCAGAGTGGGAAAATGCACAAATCTATTAGTAATCTGTCTTTGTCCTCAGGAGAGATGAGCATGCAAATTAACAACCATGAACAACAGCGTGCTGTAATAGACGTCTGAACTGGACGTGATGACAACATGGGAAGGGCACTTCACTCATTTGGGGAGGGTCAGAGCAAGCTAGCCAGAGAGGCTGGTATTGTCCTGATACTGAGTTTGGCCTTGAAGGACCTCCAGACAGGACCTGATGTACTGAGCCAAGATAGGGCACGTGACACCCACCCCCTCCCGCCTGCCCCCGCCAAAGAACGTTTGCTTGTATCTGAATTTAGCACTTCCTCTGAGCACCTTCTCCAAATTTGTTTGGAGCAGGTCTGCCCCCTTCACCTAAATATAAACAGCTCAGGAGTCTGGGGCTAACCCCCTAACCCCTGTGGTTTTAAATTCTAGTCTAGTAGCACAATCTGGTTCCACAGGCACTGGGTAAATGTTAAGTGAAAGAACAGCCACTCACCACGGACTAATCATTTGATCTGCTGGGTAACTTTCTACAACATTTACACTAACCCACCTTGTTTGGTTCCCTACACAGAAACACAGCCCTTTTAAATCAACCACTCAGTAAAAGGAGGCACATCACAGCTTTAAGAGAGGTAAAACCCCTGAGTGATATTCCTAGAATTTCAATAGATCCTAGGGAATCTAAAGATGAACTGTAGTAGGACTATGATTTGGCAGTTTGTAATAAAAAGACAGATATAATTCCTGGGATGCGAGTGGGCAAATGCACTACTGGCCTTTGGAGCACACACAGGAGGGCAGATCTACACCCCTCTTATCCAGACACTTGCATGAAGTCTACTCCACGAAGCAGAGGGGCCAAGGCAAAAATCCAAAGAATTCAGAGGCAGATCAGAGTGGAGAGAAAGAAACGGAAAGCAGTGCAACTATCCACATTCTCTATTTATTTTTTTAAGGAGAAAAAAACAGTTTATTATCACATGCATCGAGCCTACATATGGGAGAACTCAGCAATGAGTAACTCAAAGGGGTGGTCTGAACTTGAGCTTATATATAGCATCTTGACAAGGGACCTCTGGGACAACATTAAACGCACCACATTCTCTATTAAAGTGGTCTAAGAATCTTGAAAATGTTTTGTGCCGAGAGGAGCGACCTCTTGTGGATCCAGTGAAGTGAGAAAGAAAACCAGAGCTCTCAGCTGTGCACAGAATCACTCTCCTGCACTGCCCTCTGGTGGGCGGTTCACCATCGACCGTCACATCAAATTTTTAAGAAGTAACTTTTCCAGAAAGGCCTTATTTCTACTTGGTTTTATTTCCATCTTGTTAAATAAATCAGCTCTATAATTATGTATATACTTAAGCTTTATTATATTTAATATTATGCTTCAAAATGAATTTCAGCATTTTGGGGCTTAAAAATTGCCCTGAAATATCTTTTCCTTAAATTCTTCTCCACTGCTGATTTTTTCTAATTTTTTTATTTTGAAGATTTTCAAACCCACAGTAAAATGAACAGAATAGTACAATGAAAACCCGTATACCACTCACCTAGATTCACCAATTGTTAATGTTTTGCTACATTTGTTTTCTCCCTCCTTCCTTCTTGAGATAAGCATTTTTCCCTTTTGAACCACGTGAAAAACCAGTTGCAGGTATCGTAATACACCATCCTTAAAAACCTCAACTTAGGGGCTTCCCTGGTGGTGCAGTGGTTGAGAGTCTGCCTGCCAATGCAGGGGACACGGGTTCGAGCCCTGGTCTGGGAGGATCCCACGTGCCGCGGAGCAACTGGGCCCGTGAGCCACAACTACTGAGCCTGCACTCTAGAGCCCGCGAGCCACAACTACTGAGCCCGCGCTCTAGAGCTTGTGAGCCACAACTACTGAGCCTGTGCGTCTGGAGCCTGTGCTCCGCAACGAGAGGCCGCGACAGTGAGGGGCCCATGCACCGTGATGAAGAGTGGCCCCTGCTCGCCGCAACTGGAGAAAGCCCTCGTGCAGAAATGAAGATCCAACACAGCCAAAAATAATAAATTAATTAATTAATTTTTTAAAAAAAGCTCACGCAGCCACAGATAAAATAAAAATAAATTTTAAAAAACCCAAAAAAACCTCAACTTGTATTTCCTAAAAACAAGGACATACTCCCACATAATCATAATACCACTGATACAATATTACCTATATACAATCCACCAAATTTCCCCAAATAGCTGGCTTAAAAAACAAAACGGAATTCAATCAAGGATCCTGCATTGCATCTGGTTACCAGGTCTTTTTTATTTATTTTATTTTTGGCTGCGTTGGGTCTTTGTTGCTGCACGTGGGCTTTCTCTAGTTGCTGCGAGCGGGGTCTACTCTTCGTTGTGGTGCGTGGGCTTCTCATTGCGGTGGCTTCTCTTGCTGCGGAGCACAGGCTCTAGGCACACGGGCTTCAGTAGTTGTGGCTTGCAGGCTCAGTAGTTGTGGCTTGCAGGCTCTAGAGTGCAGGCTCAGTAGCTGTGGCACATGGGCTTAGTTGCTCCATGGCATGTGGGATCTTCCCAGACCAGGGCTCGAACCCGTGTCCCCTGTATCAGCAGGTGGATTCTTAACCACTGTGCCACCAGGGAAGTCCCAGGTCTTTTATTAAAAATGTCTTTTAAACTAGAACAGTCCCTCTGCCTTTACTTTCAAAGACTGTCTTTCAGAACATTTTTAAAAGTTCACATTTTTAACACCAATTTTCCTGGTTCCCTATTGACATCATTCACTTGGTCATTTACCAGTGAATGTCTCATGCGCCAGGCACTGGGCTAGACACCTAAGGGCAAAGATAAATTGAAGATAGATTCTGGGCATAGAACTTGCTAATGGATTAAATTGGAAAAGAAGGAGTAATCAATCCAATTACTTTTGCTTGATGAGCAACTAGCTACATGGTGGTGCCACTTACGGATGTAGGCTTGACTGGAGAAGCAGCAGGTTTGAAGGAAAAACAAGATTTCTGTTTACAACATTCCCAAAGGGATCAAGTGGGAACTGAGTCTGCAGCTCAGAGGAGAGATCTCAGAGGGTGTCATCAGCACATAAATGGCATTTAAAGTGAAGTCATGGGACTGGATTAACCTTCTTGGGAGA